CGCCACTGTGCAAAGAATTTTTTCGATGGCAGGAACTTTTAAATTAATTTTTGATCAAATTATGTCCCATACAAATTTTTGATAAATCCAACATGAAAGGAGATATTTGGGGTTAAGTTTTTTTTTTAATAATTTTAACGAGTATTTTAATTATAAATATTTTTAATATGCTTTAGCAGATGATCATTTAATTCTGGTAATCATAATTATAGTGATAAAACGCTCGTGTAGCGTTAACTAGATTAAAATTATAACGTCCAGTGACGCCTCAGGGGGCCCCTTAACAAATAATATTGGCAAAAAATAATACGCCACTGAGTTTTTGGTAATTTTTATATTTTTTTCGGATTAACCAACTAAAAATATCCTTTTTTTGTCTGTTAAATTGTTTTCATATCTTGCTTCGTTTTCGAGAAATACAAATAAAACCATTTGAAAAACAAAAATCATTAAGAAACAAAACCATAAATTATTAATACCCTATATTTTTTGCTGTTTAAAAACAAAGGTGAAACATTAAAACATAATACAATAAAATTAAAGGATGTTTTAAATTTTATGAAAAAGTGGTAAGAAATTATAAAAGATTATTAAAGAAAATTAGAACAATACCAAAAACTAACCAATAAGGTCGAATGAGGTGTTCAAAATTATTGCCGTTTTTATACACACATATCAAATCGATATAATAATTCGGTTCTGCAAACTTTCAATAGTGTATTTTGATTAATAGCGGCTATAGTAAAGGATGTTTTAAATTTTATGAAAAAGTGGTAAGAAATTATAAAAAGTTATTAAAGAAAATTAGAACAATACCAAAAACTAACTAATAAGGTCGAATGAGGTGTAACTAACTAATAAGGTCAGCCATGTCTTCTATTGGTTCCTTGTAGACTTCATTTTGTAAGCCGCCCCATAAATAAAAGTCAGGGGACCTTGCTGGCTATCTAAGATCCTCATTTGTGCTGATCACTTTTCTTGTCATTTAGATGATTCATAACGATATTGCTATTGTGTGCTGGGGCACCGTCTTGATGAAACCACATAGTATTAACGTCAATTTCCAAATTTTGTAACAGCAAATTAGATCGTTTTGCAGAAATTGTAAATAACGAACTGAAGTTAAATGTTCATGGTACAAATAGGGCCCGAATATGTAACCATTTACAATACCGCACGAAACATTTACCCCAAATCGTGTTTAAAATTTAGTCTGTCGTATGCAGTTAGGATTTTCCTGGGACCAATAGCGACAATTATGATTATTAATTACTCCATTATTGTAAAACCGGGATTCGTCACTCCACATAATTTGGTTTAATAAATTTGGATTTTCTTCCAAAAGAATATAAAAATGTGTCAAAAAGTTTAATCTGCGCTGGTTATCTCCTTATTGTAGATGATGCTCTAGATGAACTTTGTATGGAAAAAACATATTTCCTTTTAGGAACTTACTGAAATATTGGTTTCATCTTTTAATATTAGAATATTAGTTTCATCTTTTAATTTTCGTAATGACGATTGTGGGTTATTTTTTACTGATTGGAGGACTAAACCTACATTTTCGTCAGTCGTATCCCTTTTCCTTCTTGGAACCGTTTCCTTTTTAAAGCTACCATATGAAGCTAAGTTGGTACACAAAGCTACAAAAGATTTGCGATCTGGCGTTGGTCTCGATAGCAGCGCACAGCTTCTGAAGCATTTTGATGTCATTCTCCATAAACTAAAACCATGTAGGTATGTTCAATTTGTCTTGATTTGTATGGTGAACCATTTTTATTTTAGAAATGTAGAAATTGCAAATTCTTACACTGACACTAAGTAAAGAAAAATTTACTTGATGTTTCTAAAATTCATTTGTTTTTATTTAATGATTATTGTTTTCCAGAGATATGCAGTGAAATGGTTTTATTTGTATTTCTCGAAAACGAAGCAAGATATGAAAACAATTTAACAGACAAAAAAAGGATATTTTTAGTTGGTTAATCCGAAAAAAATATAAAAATTACCAAAAACTCAGTGGCGTATTATTTTTTGCCAATATTATTTGTTAAGGGGCCCCCTGAGGCGTCACTGGACGTTATAATTTTAATCTAGTTAACGCTACACGAGCGTTTTATCACTATAATTATGATTACCAGAATTAAATGATCATCTGCTAAAGCATATTAAAAATATTTATAATTAAAATACTCGTTAAAATTATTAAAAAAAAAACTTAACCCCAAATATCTCCTTTCATGTTGGATTTATCAAAAATTTGTATGGGACATAATTTGATCAAAAATTAATTTAAAAGTTCCTGCCATCGAAAAAATTCTTTGCACAGTGGCGCCACCTACATCTTGTATTATTCAAAAACATTTTTCACGCAGTTGTGAAGCCAATCATAGAGACTAAAAACTGGCGTTTACAGAATTTAAATGTCACTTTTAGTTTTCGAAATAATTGGCCTGGGAGTTTTTATTGAAACACCCTGTATACCGACTATTGAACATGCCTGGGTTTACAATTTGTTGCTTTGATTTTTATCTTGCCGTTGAATACAAAATAATATTTTTAATTCTGTGGTTAAAACTTGTAAATTGCGCCCGGATTTGCTTCGAGTTTTTATGGATGTACATGTAGACGTTTTTGTTCGAGTTCAAATGTTCAAAATGTCTCAGTTTTGTTCTTTATTCCACCACCAGAACTTCACCTTATTGTACAAAAACTTTTTGATTCCCTAAATAGCAAATATCCAGAATTTGGGAGGCATGGGTGAAAAGTGCTGGAATTTGCTTTGACCATTATGGCAAATTTAATAGCAATAATGCACGAAAACTACTAAAGTCGATTGCTGTATTGAAAACTTTGTCATAAGCTTTGCTTTGTTTGGATGTTTTCTACCTACTGATTTATAATTCCTATTTTAGACAATGAAAATATACCCGTATTTGAGGCGTTCAATCAAGTAGTTTCTGACTGCTTTGGCTAAAACTTAGCAGATGAATATAAAGACTACATAAAAGAATTTAAAGTACAATTATCAAAAGCTGGAATTACATGTACACCAAAGATCCATGCTCTTATTTATCATGTACCTCAATTTATAGAAGAAACGCAAAGAGCCCTTGGTTTCTTCTCAGAGCAAGCATCGGAGCAAGTTCATCATTCATTCAATATATTTTCCAGGAATTTTAATTTATCCAGAAAAATATAATATATTGCTTCGATGTCTTTGTGCGTACAATAGTCAACATCTGTAGGCTTAGATTTATTTTGTTGTTTTTTACATTTTTGTTAAAGTTTATCAAAGTCTTTCATTAAAAATATTCTACAAATATTAACTTTGAGACAGTTAAAATATTATCAATATACGATACTACACATAAATTACGAAGAATTGATCGCTATTTCTCAAGATCTACATGGAAGATATTCATTTTACTTTTTTTTTGAATACTTAGTTGGTAAATGTTTCAAAGTTGTTCTATTTGTTTCGTTAAAAACGGTGTTCGGTGAATCGTGAGCATTAAAAATTGGGCGAAAGAAATGGAAAATCTACGCCACTGGAAAATTTTGTTAAAAGTTACCTGCGTTATATATAATAATTATAGTTATAATTATTATAATTATAATGAGAAGGGATCTATTTTATAAGTCCTTGTACCAAACGCTGACCTGTGAATTATGACAAAAAGAAGGTATTTAAAACTGAAATTTAAAGGGACGTATCTTCCTTAGGAAGCGTTTTGGAAATTTTTATTTTTGACAATATTCTCAGATTAAAATACATACATAACGACCCATGCAACGAAGACTATTGTAACTCAGTTTTGATTGTAGACTAGAGTAACTCAACTTAATATAGTTTTTTCCTGTAGGAATGTGGATTATTACACTTACTATACAGGGAAGTTGTTCACTGGTTGCCTACCGTTTCATGTCTGAGTTACTGTAATCTTCCACCAAATAGAGCTTGAAAAAATCTGTTGATGCCATATAGTAAGTCAAAACGTTTTTTGAGTTATTATAGTCTTCGTTGCATGGGTCGATAATAATTTAAACATATCAAAAGTGGCGAATGCGCCGGGACTAATGCTGTTTATTTTCTGCTGATAGCGTTAGCTCTTGTGGTTTAACTTATAGTAATAACTACAGACCCCTTAATTAATTTATTAAATAAAACACATTAAATTGTATGTGCTTATAAAATGTATAAAATGTATAAATTATAAATGAAAATGAAAATAAAACCAACTTTTACGTAGTGATATTTTAGTCAAATGAAATTATATTACTTTATTTGTTCAATAAAAACTTTAACAACGCTAGTAACTTACAAAATATATTTTTCTAATGGACCGAAAAAACGAGAGCAATTTAATTTTATTAAGGAGAACATGGTTTATGCATAAAAACTCCGGTAATAGTCCATATTTAAAAGTGCTTTTTATAAAAGTAATGAACCAAAATTTTATGATTTTACTGATACTTAAAGTGTCACCTACCCTAATTTTAAAATGCTGAAAATTTATTATGATGGATGTGGTCTACAGTGTACACTTTAATAAAATATCTTGTCGCTGCTGTTTCCCAAAATTTTAAATTTTAATTAGCAATTATATTTTAACATGCTAATACTCATTCATTTACTTTTGCAGTATTTTAACCGTAACGGTATTATTTGGTAGTTCTTTATCCACACTAATTCATACCCTCCATTAGTTGATACTTTATAATGTATTCTAATTGCTTTGGTTAAACATAATTTAATTTAATTAATAAATCAAAATTTGAGTATTATTAAACTATAAATAAAAATACCCAAAAAATGTTACACAATTAAATTATTATAAAATTGTATAGGTTTAACTTATCGAGAAAATTTGCAAAAATATTTACTAAGTCTGTTAAACAATTTTTATTAAATATAATTAACACAATAGTTATTAGGCTACTTTATTAATATACTTTTTTATTACTTATTTCATTATTATCAATTTTCTTTATTGCAGGCTGTATCAGATTTACTATTGGGGGTGTTTTGTATGCCTTTTACTTTGGTTGGCCAAGTGTTGAGGACTTTTATATTCGGATCCATCATGTGTAAATTAATTCCCTACTTTCAAGGTAAGATTTTTAATATAGAAACTTATATACAAATTTATATGACAAATACATATTTATATGATTTTAATTTTATTTAGCATTCTCTGTAATTTGCAAGAGTATAAATGGGTAGAATGTAAAAAAATATAAACTATCATAAAAAATACATTACATTTTTAATAAAAATAAATATGTGTCGATAATAGTCCGAAATCTTTTTTACAAAAATATTTTTAAGTAAATTTTACAATAAAATGTTGCAGAAACGAGAACTAAGAAAGAAAAAAAGATGTATAGAAAATTGTATATAAGTACAAGAAAGCTACCCTTTTATTTACATATTGCCAAAAAAAATCTACCCCCCGAATTGTCTCCATTGTCACCATAGAATAACGAATGCATTTTAAAACTTACATTTGAATCGAACAAATATCGAGAAGTTTTACAAAGTTTAAAGGACAGCACCTTTTATTAAATTCCTAAATGTTACAAATGGCTAAAAACCCAGCGATGCATACTGAAGATGCAAAATAGTATATCAAGTTTGATACACGCCATTTTAGGCACGAATTTAATTTAGTTAAATAAGTGTCTAGAAAGTTTATAAACTACTTGCATACTATATTTATATAAAATCCAAGAACATTTAATTTCTTACCTATAACGATTTATCAAAGTCATATCATAACTGTGAAAACATTACTTTTAATGCACAACGCTAGTTGATTCACCATAATAATTTTTGTTTTTTCAATAAAAATTGTGTACTTTTAATGCACAATGCTAGTTTATTCATCATTACCCCTCCGCGCTCATCCAATGAGAAGATTCCTCGGCAACACACGTTTAGGATTGACACGGGGTTTCCTATGCGGCAAGCAGAGCAAACAACACAGAACAGATTTTGCTTTGTAATAATACCTAATTACCTATTAAAAATTATAATTAATGTATAAGTAAATTGAATTGAAGTACTATTCATAATACCACGTAAATTTGTATACCACGTAAATTAGTATATTTATAATACCACGTAAATTTGTATATTTATAAATATTAGTGATTAGTGATATGTAATTGCCAATTAGGGATAGTTTTGTCCAAGAAAAGTTGACCGACTAGGGACTTGAAGTCCTGAACAAACAACGAGGTCATTTAAAATTATAAAAACAAAAAAACAAACACTTTGAATAAAAAGTAAAAATGCCGTTTTTTTTTAAGTTTTTTTTTTGCGATTCCGGTCAATCTAGACATTCGAAGGTACATAAATTTACAACAAGCTGAAAATCAGTAAAATTGTTCAGAATATAATTATTAATAAAATTTTAAAGTTCCCCATCATTCCCCTGTATGGAAAATTTTTTATTCAAGGTCAAAGGTCAAAAAAATGATTTTTCGCGATTTTCAGCAAAACGGTAAGTTTTATCACAAAAATTGTAGATCATAAAATAATCTATAAAAAATGTATCAATACTTTTTTTCTACGAGCCACCGTTTCTGAGATATAACGATTCGAAAAGTTGTAAAAGTTATAATCGCCATAATATGCACACGTTTCCACGCCACCTATGAGGTAGTTTAATAAGCGCGCTTTTAAACGTGGTTTCCACAGTAGGCCTATTTCACGGGTCACTTGTGATCCTGTTTAATTTGAAACTATTGCAAAATAACGGAAATTAGCAATGATTGGAAAAGATAATAGCGATGTAAATCTTAAAAAAGTACTGAAGTTTATTCGTCTGATTCGTAACATTTAAATTCTTTTTCTTGTTCTTCTTGATCTTCTTCTTGTTCTTCTTGTTGTTCTTCTTCTTCATCTTCATCCTGGGTTCAAGTAAATTGCGTCAATAGCGATGTATCGCATCTTACCTCGTTGGGATTAAATGAATCCTCCACTGTTGGTGATTCAACATTAGAGCACGACCGGCCTTGACAATTCGTACATGCCAGAGAATAAAACAGTCCGACTTTTTTGCAACCACATTTAGCACTGCATCCCTTTTTGCAGTTGTAAAGTTTGAACTGGTTCTAATGTGTTGTTGACCAACTTCCAACCCTAGTCTGTAGGGTCTAGCGAATTTTATTGAATATACAATGATATATCGTAGTATTTTTTCTTTTTTCTGTGATATTATATTATAATGATATGTTCCTATTTAAAATTAAAAATGTATTAATAAAATAAAATTAATTTAGATTTAAAAAATGTATTAAGAATTCAAAAATATATATTAAATTGTATGATTAGAGGTGTCCCTCTATAAACTGTATGTTTCTTGGGATGAAAATAAAGTATTTTATTATTATTATTATTAACCAAGCCACACTTGAACTTGGTAATATACCCGAAAAAGATGTTGATGAGCAGGAACTGAGGTTTGAGGAAGACAAGCTAATTAAACTTGTTTTTTACTTTTAGAATTTTTAACGAAACATGCATATCGATACTTACCAAAGCAGGTAGATTTTTTAGGAGCTCCGTATATAGAAAGAAGAATTCGAATGCCGATAACTTCTTGTCCCGAAGGCCATTTTCCTCGAGTTTGGACGAAAAATTTCCGCTCGTTCGAAAGTTAAGCGAAGACAACGGAACGTGCCAAATTTGACGGAAAAATCGAAAAAAAGTGGACTTGGACCTTTTCGACACCGGAAAAATTTGGTCCGCGGATAGGTCTCCTGGGCAGAAAAAAAGGATGCAAATTTCAACCTTCAACGGCCTCCGAGCTACGGCGCTTAGAAAAAAAGGATATACAGACAACGCAAAAAATAAATATTGCAAACGGGCCGGATACGCCGGCAACTTTTCGAACAGCGTTCTTTTTTTATTTTTTTCGAAAAATTTTCAAACGTTTTTTAGGTCGAGAGAAATTTTCGAAATTGGCCGAACGAAATACACGAATCGACGGGAAAAAGACCAAAGTTTGACATACTAAAAGATGAGCTTCATCGAATAAAAACTAATCGGCCAGAAGCCCGTTTAATTTTTGTTGGGTATTTAAAAAAGTTAACCAATTAAAATCCTCGAAATCAAATCGATAAGGTGGCAAATGACAGGTGGCATATGACAGGGACAAATGACAGGTGACAGGTGACAGATGACAGATGACAGGTGACAGATAATAGGTGACAGATGTCAAGTTGACAGATGACAAGTAACTAATGACAGTAGACAGATTACAATTGACAGATAACACATAAGGTGACAGAAGACGTGAGAAATATAAAATTCATCTTTAAAATTACTACCCAGTTTAGGTGGAGCGAGCACCAACTATAGCAGGTCAAACAATTGAACATGAGACAGATTATCTGTCATCTGTCATCTGTCACAGATTTTGTCTCAAGGTTACAATGGCGTATAAATTAATTAATTTATACCCAGTCCCAGACTGGGGTTTTATTTCACTTGATATTCTTATAGTTATAACTTATGTAGGTATACTTTATATTTTAAGTGTAAGTTAAAATGACCTATAGAAAAATATTTTAACATATATTACAAATCTAGAGATACGTGGCGTGCATATTATGACGATTACAACTTTTACAACTTTTCGAATCGTTATATCTCAGAAACGGTGGCTCGTAGGAAAAAAAGGATTAATACATTTTTAATAGATAATTTTATGATCTACAATTTTGTATGGGGTATTTTTATGATAAAACTTACCGTTTTGATAAAAATCGCGAAAAACTAATTTTTTTGACCTTTGACCTTGAATAAAAAAAATTCCATACAGGGGAATGATGGGGAACTTTAAAATTTTATTTATAATTATATTCTAAACAATTTTACTGATTTTCAGCTTGTTGTAAATTTATGTACCTTCACTGTTATTTTTTCGTCTAATTTTTAATGTTTATATTAATTGGTTAAGTCGTTTTTGTGCTGTTTAGGTTTATATATAAGGTCAATATTGAACTTATGGTTAGCGAGAAGGTAACGCAAATTTATTGTAAATTTAAACAACTAAACCAAATATCAACATGTATTAGAATCAGAAAACAAAATATTATTCTTGGTAAAAATATACAGAGTGTTCCATTAAAAACATCAAAATTGCCATAATTAAAACAAAAAACAATTATTGTTCTTTGTTTTTATTATCTTAATAGTTCTTCTCAAGGTATGTTAAGGTTAGTTTATTATTTTTAACAAAAACTTTTTAAAGTTAAAATTGCATAATAGACCTATCCCATGAATTGGATGTGATCAAAAAAGAGAGATAGGAATAGGATTTGTAATAAGAGAGAGCTAATTTTTGCGCGTGCGCAACCAATTTATTAGATAGGTCTATTACATATTTTTTGATATACATGCACCTGTCATTTATGCAAATAACATTACCAAACTTTAAATTTGTATTATGCAAACAGGTTTTCCATCTTTAAAGGACAATTTATGTAAATTTTTAACAATAACAATTTATACACGCCTTAAGTACGACAAATTTTTCCTTCTTAATAAAATTATTATCTACGCAATGTTTATATATAAGAATTTTTATATACTATTGTGCTTATAGGTAGTACAAATGATGCCTAATAAAATGTTACCTACCAATACTTACAATGTTTTAATTTATATTCCTATTTCTGGCTTTAATTGTACTACATATTCTCGTATTTAACGATATAGTACAAAAGTTGTGGGAATCTATTACACAATCATGTGTACTACCTATTTCCGTTATTGTTGTATAGTTTATTTACCACAAGAAATATTCTTAAGGTATACAATTTGTGCACATTTATTACACAACATTGCACATTTTTTCTTCATTGCATGCTTCTATCGTAAAATTACACAAGCCAATATAAAAATTTTTAAGCTTGCTGCCTTATGATAAAACAATTCAGAATTGTATATCAATCCTGTACAATAATTGCGTTAAAAATCTATAAAACAGTGTTGAAAAAAATTACCTTACCAATTTTGTGAAAAGATATAGAGTTTCTGCAGAATAGAGAAACAAACTTTTGTACACAATTTAATGGAGAATTAGTATACAAATTGGTTC